TAGATAGATAGATAGATAGATAGATAGATAGATAGATAGATAGATAGGATAGGTAGATAGACAAATAGATAGATAGACAGACAGAGCAGTTGTAAAATCACAGGGCAGAAGACACCGAACAAAAGGATTAAGAACATTAACTAAGAAGTTATCACCTAATTGGTGACATATTTCCTTTAGGTGTAAAGAACATTATAGAAAAGAAAATCCTGGGGTTGGAGCACTGGCTCAGTGGTTAAGAACATTTGCTACTCTTCCAAAGAACCTGGGTTCAGTTCCCAGCACCCACACTGAACAGCTCACAACCACATGTAATTCTGGTTCCAGGAGACCTGCTACCCTCTTCTGATCACTGAACATACTGCATGCACAAGGTGAACATATGTACACTTGGGCATATATACATAAAATCAATAAATCTCTGAATATAAAATCCTGACTTGTTGAAAAGTTTATTATATAAAGAAACAAAGAATGCGTATAAATATGACAAAGAATGAAATGAAAATGGAGTCCAAATTTACCATAAGTAATATAAATTATTGTGTTTCATATCCGATATTGCAGGGTTTTTCCCCTTGTGAGTATGTTTATCCACACCCAAATTAATCTGAAATTAATCCAAGTCAAAAGGTTCTGCTCAGCAGCTGTCCAATTTAACAAAATGGCCAATGCCTTCAGCAGTCTAAACAGAACATCACTGACTCAGACCTTACTAGCTAAGTGAATTTGATATTGTTCTTATTTCTACTGTAACATAAATTCTGATTTTTTTTTGTAGGATTTTATGTTCCTGCCCAACATGCTACCCCAAAATTTTTCTCCCTACCCTTCTCCATGTACAAAGAGTAACTGAACACAGTTTAACAGAGAAACAAGAAACAAAGGATATTTCGGGCTTCTTTTTTAGACGGAAAAGGATACCTGCAAGCAGCAAGCAAACAACAGAATGAACAGCGCCTTCTGGTTTAGCTCTGACTGGAGCACTCCCTCTCACCCTGCTCTAGCCTCTGGAGAAAGAGCACCACACTACCAGGCCAAAAGTTGCTTTAGCTTCTTATGTCGAATTATGTAAGTATGCTTACACACTAATAACACACACACCAAATTATTCAGTTTATCTAAAAACAGTTTTTGTTTAGTGAAGCTTAACCACGAGAGCTTTAATAATTCATTAAAAACATACACCAGAGATGTTACAAGCAGATTAAAATTCCGTAGCACAAGATTTACTCTAGACTTTTACAACGTTCTTATTCTTAGCAAAAAGTCAATGTCAGATAACATTTCTTATCTTAACAGTTTGGCTAATAAGTATACTGAGCAGTATAAAATACATAAGAAGTTCACTGAATATAAACTTACTTTTCAGTAAAATCTTTACATCTCCATTTTCTTTCTTGATCTCACTCATTACTTTATGCTTCTTTTTCTCTCTCTCTTTTTCCTTTTCTTTCTCTTTAATTTTGTCTTTGATTTTATCTGAAAGACAAAGAATATTTTAAAATGTTAAAATAGTTTTTTCTCCATGAACTTCAACTCAATTTCTAGAAGTGAGACATTAGAAAGCTGAGTGTGGGTACACACGCCTTTGACTCCAGCACCAAGGGAGGCAGAGGCAGGCAGATTCTGTGAGCTGGAGGCCCATCCAGTCTACAAAGCAAGTTCCAGGGTAGCCAAGAGCAGCATGGTGACACCTGGTCTCAAAAAATAAATAAACAAATAATAAACATAATAAACACAAAAATCATGTTGACTAGAAAAAAAAAATGCCTTTTTCCCCCGAAGCTTTATTCAAATTTCTTCTTTCAATGAACATGCACTATATATCAAAATGTGTATTTTTCACTCATTTCATGTCAACCAAAATATAGGACTAATTTCAAATCACATAAAATAATTGGCTATGTCTACTGGTACAGAATAAGTATTCTGGAAGTTATGGATCTGAAATTGAGCACATTCATAATGTTAACAAACTTCCAAACCTGAGAAACTGTGCTGGATACCATCCTCACAAGATTCTCATAGAAGTAAATGAAGATATAAAATGACTACACAGAACTTAGAATACATTAAGACTAGATACTAGCTCCCTTATCCTCCTATATTTTAAGAACAAGATAACATAGCTAGCTAGTGTAACTGTGGTAATAAATTATGGGGCATAACTCATTGACAGAGCTGGTCAGTGGTGACGCTAGCCTTTAATCTCAGGGTTCAGGAGGCAGACGCAGGCAATTCTCTGAGTTTGAGGTCAGCGTGGTCTACAGGTAAGTTCTAGCATAGCCAGGGCTATACAAAGAAACTTAAAAACAAACAAACAAACAAACAAAAATCCTCATTGATCTATGTCCTAAAAATCCAAATGATTTATAAAGTGCATACTATCTTATCAATTCTTGTTTTTTCGGTCAATGTCCTATGAATCCAGGCAAAGTTAAATATATGCAGAATGAAAACAAAGTAATATTGCCTTTGCTTTCAAGAACTTATTACTATAACAGAGCTATACTGGAAACACACAACCTTGTACAACAGATTTTACATTGCATATGAACAGTGCAGATTTCCTTAAAAAACTCCTTACTCTCTTTTCTTAAGCATTACCCTAATTCAAGCTATAATCAAGGTAACTAGATGATGCTCTCAATCAGAACTTACCAGCAGAGATATAATGCCATTTGCAAAATTGCATTTTTCTGCAGCCACATTAAAAGCATAATAAGCAACGGGTGAAATTATCTTAATAACATTTTCTTTAACCCAATAATACATCTAAAACATTTCAACATGAAACTGATATTTATAGATTATTTAAATACTTTACATTCACACCCCTGCCTATGTCTGTTTCTGTGTGTCTATGAGATTGGGGGAGGGGCGGTGGTATATGCCACAGCGTGATTGTGAAGGTCAGAAGACAGAAGTTCAAGGTTAGGCACTGCAAGCTTGATAACTAACAAGCTTTCAAAACCACAGTCTCAATTGTAACTTTTACATGCTGTCATTTCTCCAGCTCTTCATCAGGGAGGAATAATGAGGGCAAGAAAACAGGGCCTTGGCATTGCTGATTTAACACAGTGTTCCTGAAAAACTAGCTCTTCACCAGTTTTGATTCATTTATTTTCATGACCAAGAATTTAGCCAATTGTAGCGGTGCATACCTTTAATCCCAGTACTCCGAAGGCAGCCAGACCTCTGAGTCTGAGACCAGCCTGATCTACATAGTGAATTCCAGATCAGCCAGCACTACAGAGTGAGACCATGACACCATGACGCAAAAAAAAAACTTTTATCCTTTACAGCGTAACCTAAAGCTTAGAATAAACTGTCAGTTTATCTCATCGTAACTCCTAGAATAACATTAAGAATTATTCTACTGTAAGAACAACACACTGTTTGAAAAGTCAAACTTATCACAAGCACAATTTTATTTAGAAAGTGTTAAAAGGTATCAAGACAGTTACTGGCAAAAGAAAGCACCAGAAGAACAAAACTGGGTTCAGAAACAAACCAACCTTACAGGCGGTTGATTTTTGACAATGGAGCAAAAGTAATGGGGAAAGAACCTTTTCAACAGACAGCACAACAGCTGGATAGTCACATTCAAAACAAAGGAGAAACCACTGAAACTGGTGGAAGAGTACAGAAGATCTGCATGATGTGGAGGTTGGTGATGCTGCACTAAGGTACAATGTGTCATAGAAATAAACTGATAAACTAGATTCATCAGTTTTCTTCAAAAGACACTGTCAAGAGAATAGAAAAGCAAACCGCAGAGGGAAAAAATGATATGATTAATTATTATTACTCAATACAGACTCCTCTCAAAATTCAACAAAAAAGCCAGAATTTAAAATGGGTCAAAGGCTTCACAATAAAAAAATGTACAAAAGACAAGCAAGCATGCAGGCAAAGTATGCTTCACGCCACGTGGCACTAGGACTACAAACGATAAGGTGTCACTATAGAACTACTGAAGTGGCCAAAACCCAGAACCCTGGCAGCATCACAAGTGCTAGTAAGCATGGGGAACAGGAATTCTCACTCACTGCTAGCGGGAATGTAAAACACTACTCTGGAAGACAGAGAGGTGTTTTCTTATGATACCACACACACTTTTATAAGAATCGATAAATTTCACTGCTTAGTTATAGGATGGTCGGGGTTACATAGTGAGGCCCTCTCTAAAACAAAGATGGGGGAAAAGGGTAGGGAGTTTACATGTAAAAGAAAATCTTCCCCCATGAAGAGATGGTTGTGACCTGACAGACACAGGGCAGACAGTATTTGAAATACCTGACTCTGACCCCCTCTTCTAGATGAGTTTGTTCGTCCAAGCAGACACACTTTGCTAAAAGGGTAAAGTTTCCTTAAGTAAGTAAAAACTGGTACATATTAAGACTGCTGAGCTGGGCTGTGATGTTGCATACACCTTTAATCCCAGCACCCAGGAGGCAGAGGCAGGTGGATCTCTGAGTTTGAGGACAGCCTGTTGTACAGAGTGAGTTCCAGGACAGCCAGAGCTACACAGAGAAAGAGGGAGGGGGTGCAGGGGGGGAGGTAGGAGAATGCTGAGACTGAAACATCTCGCTCCATTCAAGTAAGCACATAAGAACTTGTAAACTGCTAAACTGAGAGCCTCATGGAGCTTCTGTTACTTGTACTTACGAAATCCCAGGCTACACTGACTCTGAAGAGTCTTTCATTTCTATTCTTCCATGACTCTTTTTCTTGATCAATGAGAAAAGTAACACAATTACTCTTACAGCACAACAACCGATACTGTGAACAGTCTCTTTGTTACTTAGTATTCAAGAACAGGAGAGCTGGTGCTGGAGGGATCACTCAGAGGTTAGGACTACTTACTGCTCTTGCAGTGGGCCAAGGTCTAGTTCCCAGGACTCACACGACAGCCCATGGTCCAGACCATGTCTAAGTGCCAGTCCAGGGATCCAATACCAGCTAGGGAATCCACAAGCTCCAAGCATCCTTACCATACACGCCCATACCTGCAAACAAACACTCACCCACTACTTGGTTTGTGTTAGCCTGACACAAATCTACACTATCTGGTAAGAGGATATCTGAATTGAGGTAATGTCTCCATAAGATTGTCCTGTTGGCCACCTGTGGGACATTTTCTTAAATAAAAGAATGATGGGGCTGGAGAGCTGGCTCAGCATTTAAGAGCCTTGGCTGTTCTTCCAAAGGTCCTGAGTTCAATTCCCAGGAACCACATGGTGGCTCATAACCATCTATAGTGAGATCTGGTGCCCTCTTCTGGAACAAAGGCACACATGCAGCCAGAATGTATAAATAATAATAATATATAAATAATAATTGAATCAAATTTTTAAAAAATTATGTGAGAGGGCCCAGCCACTGTAGGTAATGTGGCACTTGGGCTGGTGGTCCCTGCCTGAGAAAACCATAAGAAATATGCAAGTAAGCAGCACTCTCCTCCTCCGTGGCTTCTGTCTTGAGGTCCTGCCCTAATTTCCTTCAATGATAGACTATACAGTGAACTATCAGCTAAAACAAACCATTTCCTTCCCTACGTTACTTCAGGTCAAGGTATTTTACCACTATAGAAATAATGTTTTCTTCAAAACAGAAACCCTAAGACAAACATACATATATGATAGATATGATAAGATACAATAAAAACAAAGAAAAGGACAAAGCAAAACAGCAGCAGGGACCTAGCTCAGTGGTTAAGAGCACTGGCTCCTTTTCCAGAAATCCTGAGTTCAATTCAAGCACCCACATGGTGGGTCAAAACCATCTGTAATAGACTCTGAGTCCTACTTTTGGTTCATGAAAGAGAGAACTCACATACGTAAAATAAATAAATAAATCTTTTTTAAAAAAAAAAAAAGTACAACAGCGGGGGGGAAGGCAAACTTTTGAAAACAGGCCAGGTTGTTCAGATGCTAGGACTATGAAACCTTAAATGTACTGTCACATAGTGGAAGAAGCCCAGGCTTTACAGTTACACAGTCAACTTCAAATCACAGCTCTAACAACCAGTCCATAGACAAAAACAAGTTATTTAACTGTTGTGCCTCATTATTCTCATCTGTAAGAGATAATGGCATTTGTCTTTTTAATTTTCATGAGGATTAAAGACAGCAAATGCTTTACTACCAACACTATACTTGATAACTACTTAAAAGTAATTAACAAATTCAGCTATTGTCACTAAGTTCTGACAGTACAATTGTTTGTTTTTAAGACAGGGTTTCTCTGTGTAGCCCTGGCTGTTCTGGAGCTCACTCCATAAACCAGGCTGGCCTTGAACTGACAAATGCACCTGTCTCTCCCTCCCCAGCGCTGGAATTAAGCCATGTACCACCACTACCTGGCCAGACAGAACCTTACTAGGACAGTACCCCCATAACACAGCATAGCAACAACAATCACAGGAACAAAGAACTGTAATAGGAAAGTATATTTTATTTTAGGTTTTGAGCCCA